GGCTCTCTCGAAATCCCACCTCTGCTTCCTTTATCTAGAGTCCCCTTCCCTCAGACGTTCGCTTCACCTGTATCCTTCCATCTCTTATCCTTCCATCTCTGCCCCTCTCTGCACCGTCACCTCCCCGCCTCCTCAGCCTCCAGAAGTCTGTGTCAGTCTGTCATTGCTTCTCCAGCCTCCTCCAGGGCCTTTCCAAGGGCCGGTCAGGGTGGTGGCCTAGGAGGGCTGGGGCATGGGTGTGAGGGTAGGGTATGGGGGCAGGGGCGGCCGCCCTGGGAAGGAGAGCCCTGGAGCTCTGGGCGAGGGCGAGCTGGTGCCAGTCGCCTGTCTGCTCAGTTGCCAGCTCGGGCTCGACGTGGGTGCCCCGGGCATGCCTTTGTCTCTCATTGGCCTCGGAGGCTAATTAGTTAGGGCGGAGATGGAGATGGGGCTGGGAGGGAGACCGGCTCCGCTTCCCTGGCCACAGCGGACACCCCGCGGGCCAGGCCCTGCTTGCTCCAGTCAGCGTCTGTCGAGGATGGCTCTGTGGCAAGGGTCCCCGCCCAGCCTGGGCAGCCCGTTTAGCCTTTGTCCGTGCCCGCAGGGGCGCCCTGGAGCGACAGGAACCGGGGTGGGGGGCGCGGGGCGGGGAGGAGGTAGTATACCTGGACCCCAATAAAGAGAGCACTTTCTGGGCTACGGTGGGGCTAGAGAGGAGGTAGACGGAGACTTAGAGAGCAGGAGAGAAACCGGGGTGTGTGTGGCGGAGGGGGGGGGGGGGGGGGGGGGGGGGGGTAGGGGGGGACTGAGAGAGGGGGAGAGAAAGGGGGGGGTGGGGGGGGGGGGGGGGGGGGCGTTGGAGGGTTTGAGAAAGGCGGGAGCGCACTGCGAGACCCAGACGCGCGGCGACCAGGAGGCTGGGACGCAGCGCAGAGCGAGCGGAGTAGGGGTGCGCGGAGCCTCAGGCGCTGGCTCGGAGCTGGCGGGAGCCGGCCAGGCCGGGTGGCGGGGTGGGATGGGGGCTGGAGGGGGAGGCGGCAGGGGAGCAGCGGGGGGCTCCGCGGCGCTGGGCCGGGGGCGCGCGAGGCTGGGCCCAGGTGGGGGTTCCGGACACGGATCCGCCGGCGCATCCTTCGCTTTCTAGTCTCGCCCCCTCCCGGCCCCCTCCCCGTCCCCCTTCCCCCCAGCTCACTCGGGTCGATCGATACCTGTGCGGGACCTGCCCCCGCCGCTAATATCTTTTTAATGAGTTCTCAGGGCTTAGAGCCAGCGCGATCTGCCCTCCAGGGTGGATTTCTCCCCGGCAGATGTTTCGGGAGGCGGCGGCAGCTCTGAGGCCCCGGTGGTGGCGGCGGTGGCGGGGGGTGGGGGGAACACGACAGATCTCCCCCTGCGAGGGCGAGGGCCGGAGACTTTCTTCTAAAGTTCAAAACAGGGGCTCCCCCCCCCCGTGTATTTCTCCGCGGACAATGGGCTCCTCTCCTCGGGGACGGGAGGGGCGGGGGCCCGTCGAGTCGGCCCAGCCTGACCGACTCCGCCCGGGGCGCAGACGCCGGAGCTGGAACTCGGGGCCCCGGAGCCCAGCGCCGGCCCAGCCTGGGCGCCAGGGGCAGAGCCGGGTCACACCGAGAAGCACCGACGTGCCCCCTCCGCTGGACCGGAGCTCCGGGCTGCCCCCCCCCCCCGGGGGGTTCCTGGTCTCGCGGTTGCGGGCCGGTGAACCTGGAAGGATGCTCTCTGGAGACCGGAGGGGACGCGGGGCCCGCCTCCCCGCCCACCCCGCTGCCCCGGGCCCCGCAGCGCGCTGCCACAGGCAACAAGTTGGACTCGGCCAGGCCGGGCCGCTCGCCTCGGTGCACCCCGGCCCAGCCGGCCCTTCCCCACCGTTCCCACCCGGCGCCGCCCGCCCCGCTCTCCCACTCGGGGTCCCTCCGCTCCCGTGGGCCAGGGGAGGGAGCACGGGCGGCGGGGGTGACCTCCGAAGAGCCGAGGCCGATTGATTCGTTCCGCCCGGAGCCCGGGCCGAGCGAACGGGGCTCGAGCGGCGGCGGCGGCGGGCGGCGGCGGGATAAAGATGTTGTCCCCGCGAAGGGGGTGGGGGCGGCCGAGGAGCGGGCCGCGGGGCCATTCACTCTTGGCCCGGCCCCTCGGGAAGCCTCGGAGGAGAAAGGGGGCCAGGCTCTATTCAAGCCCTACGAGCCGCCCACAATGGGCGATATACTGGGGCCTCTCTATTAACGCCCATGAATATTAAAGAGCTCGCCGAGCGGCGGCCCGCGGGCGGGCGCGATCGAGGGGGCGGGGGCGGCGCCTCGGAGCCCCGACCCGGCCGGGGGAGGGGTGTCCGCGCAGGCACACCCGGCGCCGGGGTCCCCGGGACCCGGCCCGTCCGCTGGGGACCCACGGCGTCTCCCCTCCACGCCCGCGGACGCGCGCTCAAGGCCCCGACTCTCCCGTTCTGGTGGTCTGGCCTCCCCGCGGGGTTTGATTTGGGGGTGCACTGGGCCAGGGGGGCTATCACCGAGCCAGAAGCTCAGAACGCGAGCGCGAAGCGAGCACACTCCGAGCCCGCGGGCATCCAGGCGGGAGGTTTGGCTTGTTTCTTTCTCCCCTGCGGCACACTCCCCCCAGGTTTGGGGGGACCCGAGGAAAGCAGTGGGGCTCCCTGGTCGCAGTCTGAGCCTTCGGTCCTTTTGTCTTTTTGACTTCACTGTGGGGACTGGAGTGCAAATCCGCCCCAGGCACGAAGGGCTCTGGCACCTGGGAGATCTTCACTGTAGAGTGTAGCGAGGAAATGTCAAGAAATCCTCCCCAGCTCCGGGGACAGCCACCCGATCCGAGGGGTGACAGGCTGGGCCGAAACCTCAGCCCTGTCCACAGGCGCTCTGAGGCCCCGGGAGAGAAGGGCCGTCCCCGGGATGCGCGGCCACCCTCAGGCCCTTCAGCCTCCCGCCAGCGCTGAGGCGGACGTCGGGGGTGGAGGCGGGCACCCAGCCCTGGCACTCCGCTGCCCAGCTCAGGCTCCTCTCCACTTCGGCTTCCGAGACGCCGAGATCCGGGCGCCGGCCAGGTCGCCTTGCCCCTGAGTGGATCCCGTTCTCCCCGCCAGACTGGAACCCTCCGCCAGCCGCTTTCCCTCACCGGCGGCGGCGGCGAGGACCCCCCGCCCGGCGGCGGCGCTCGCTCCTCCGCTGCCCTCTGCTGGCGCCCCGCCCGTCGGTCCCCCTCGCTGCCCGGTACACCCGCTCCGCTCCGGGCTCCAGGGATGCTGCCTCGGACGCCTCCCGCCTGCCGGGCCGAGGATGCCGGGGACCACGGGCTCCGCTAGGGCTTCTCGCGACCTGGGATTCCCATGGTTGCCAGGAGCTAGGCGGGCTCGGCGCTGGGCTAGCTGCTGGTGGGAAGGGTTCTTTCCCTGGGGGCATTGGGAGCTGGGTCGTGGGTTGAGCCCCGGTCCTGCGTGCGGGGCCTTCGAGGGCCTGAGGACTCTTCGCTCTCCAGTGGAGACCTGACCCAGGAGCCCGCGCAGAGCGCCCTGCCGGCTGCGGGAACTTTCCGTTGCACCATCTGACACTGCAGCGGCGGAAGGGGGGGGGCGAGGACCTCTGCTGTGGGGGAGGTGTCCCCAGCGCCCCTCCAGGGGGGCTGTTGGGGGGGGGGGGGTCCTGAGGCTGTCCGGGAGGCTTCAATGCACGCAGGAGGTTCGGGAAGGATGGAGCCGGCTGCCAGGTGCCTTGGAAAGGCTACGCGGAGTCCCCGGGCGGGGCGAGGTGGAGGAGCCCGGAGGGAGAGGAGGGAGAGAGGGGAGCTGGGAAGGAAAGGGCCATCGGGAGGAGAGGCCGAAGAGAGAGGAACGCCCAGCTAGGGCGAAGACCCCCGCAGCGGGACTGGAGTCTAGCCGCCGGCTTTGGCCCGGGCTGCCTGCAGTTTCGGGGGCATTTGGGGTCCCCCCAGTCCCCACCTCACACTGGCCCAGGGTATCCCACAGACGCGAGCATCCGCTGGCAAGCGCGGAAGTGGGCCGGCTCTTCACTACCCTCAACTTAGTACTCGCAGGGCTGGGGGCCTCGGGCCCACCAGGCCGTCATGGGTGGGATGCAGCCTCCAGGGCGACGCGGGTGGCTCTGGCCGCGCGGCCCTCCGCGCCGGCGGAAGTTTGGCGCTGCCTCTGCGCAGGGAGCGGAGCTGGTGGACAGCCCCGTGTGAAGCGAAGAGCGCTGCCAGCGCGAGAGATCTCGTCACCCGGGCAAGAGATCTCATCACCCGGGCAGAAGCCGCGGGCGGGCTCCGGCTTGCTGGGACCCTAGGGCGCGAAGCCCCCTAAGGGCGCAGGGAGGCTGGGGGCGATGGGGAGGTGGGGGCCGGCCCGGGAAGCGGGCTTGGCCAAGGAGAGCGACGGTGGCGGCAGCTCGGGGAGCGGCCCGCGGAGCCGGGGCCAGGTGGGCGCGGGGAGCCGCGGGGCGAGCAGTCACGCGTCCCCTCTCGCCCAGCCTCGTCCCCGGAGTAAGGGCGAACCTCGCTGGCTAAGCAGCCTCCCCTGCTCAACCCCTCCTCCCTCGGCCGCGGGCTGCGCCCCCCTCCCTGCCCGGAGCTTCCCACGGGGAGAGGGGGAGGAGGGGGAGGAGGAGGAAGGAGCGGAGGGGAGGGAGGAGCGGAGGGGGGGGGACTATTCTGAGCCGTCCGCCAACTGCCCCCGCCCCTCGCGCTGTCGGTGAAGGCTCCTTCGAGCCTGGCCGGGTACCAGTCTGTCCTTCGACGTCAGGGGGTCATTAATAACCAATTAGGAGGGTCACTGCGGCTCCTATAAAGGAGCCGAGATTTCGCCAAGGGGAGGACGGTCCTGGCTGAGTGCGCGGAAGGCGAGCGGGGAGCCGGGAGCCCTCGGGCCGTGTTTCTCCGCAGCCACCCGCCTGCCACCTCCCTCCCCCCCCCCCCCCCCCCGCGTACCTGCCCCCGTTTCCACCCGCGGACTTCCAGCCCTCTCCTGGCCGTCTCCGCACCTTCTGCGTGTCTCCGGCTCCGTTCGCTTTCCTCCCGGCCACGCGCTCCCCGGTGCATCCTCCCCTTGCTCCTCTTCCTCCTCCTCCTCCTCCTCCTCTTTCTCCCTCGCCCTGTGCCCCTCAGCCTCGCTCCCGCGCTCCCTCTTCGTCGACCACCTCTCCCAAGTCCACCGGGTCTTCCTCCCGCGGCGGCGCCGGCGCCGAGCCCCTGGCCGCCCATGATGGGCTCCGTGCTCCCGGCTGAGGCCCTGGTGCTCAAAACAGGGCTGAAGGCCCCGGGGCTGGCGCTGGCGGAGGTTATCACCTCCGACATCCTGCACAGCTTTCTCTACGGCCGCTGGCGCAACGTGCTGGGCGAGCAGCTGCTGGAGGACAAGGGTCACCACGCCAGCCCGAAGACCGCCTTCACGGCCGAGGTGCTGGCGCAGTCCTTCTCGGGAGGTGAGTGGCGCCGTCGGGGCAGCGTCCGCGGCTCTGCCCGGCCGCGCCCCGTTTCCAGGCTGGCCGGGAAACGCTGGGTCCCGGGCCGCTGCGCCCGGGCAGGGCGCTCCTCCCTGCGCAGCGCAGCCCAGCTTGGGGGCTGCACCGTCGCCCCTTAGCGGAGCAGAGGCCTCCGGGGCTGCGGGGCGCTCCGGGATCGAATCCCAGCCACCCGCGAGGCCTACCTCGCTCAGCCCAGGCTCCCCTGCCTCTCCGCTCCCCGCCCCACCCTCCGGCCCGGGGCTGGCGGTTTCCCCGGCGTTAAAAGCCTTCCAGGGCGTGTAATAGCAGTTGACTGAGAAAGAACGGGTTTTAAATTCATTTGGTTAACTTGGGCTTGACCCGCGAAAGTTCCCACTTCAAACCCCCCCAAAAAAAACTTTAAAAGACGGCCCGGGGCCGGGCAAGGGGCGGAGGGCGGGCAGGCCGGAGAGAAAAAGCCGCGGAGAGCGAGGGAGAGAAAGAGAGCGAGGAAAGTTTCTTTTCTTTAAGATGTCTCAAGTTCTTTTTCCTCATTCGTCACCCCGCAAACAATATCTGCGCCCGGCGCTGGCGGCCCCGAGCGTCGCCCCCCTTCCCCTTTAAGACTGCTGTTCCTCTCTTAATTTACCGTGAACACTAATTCCATTTCCATTCACGCTATGTCAACCATCTAATCCTCCCTTTTTGTAAGGGGAATTCCTCGGCCCCTTTTAAACAAGTCCCCTCCGCATTGAGATACAATTTACTGCTACAGCTTTCTTCCAGGGCTAATGAATTTAGAATTAGCAATCTCTTTCGAATGGAGCCGGGTGAATGCGATCACTTTAACAGCGTGACAAATTGCCGGGCCGCTCCGCCACGGACACCGTTTAACCCCCCCTTTCAGGCGGCCGGCGAGCCGGCTACTTTCCCAGGTAGCTTAGAGGGGAACCTTGTAGGACACGGAGGCCGCCCCTGCGCGCCTCGCCGCCCTCACCCCTGCTGCGGGGGCCCGCCGGGGGTCTCCCGGGGGCCGGGGGGGGGCCCGCTGGTTCTCCCTCGCCCATCGAGGTGGCTTCGGAGCTCGCCCGATCCGGGTGCGGCCCTCCCCGACCCTCTGGCGCTGGGGAGGAGCGAGCGACCCCGAGCGCGCATCCCGGGGACGGACGGGGAAGCCGGAGCTCAGGGCGCAGAAGCGGGTCCCGGCTTCCGAGCTGGGGATCTGTCCCCAGTGCTGACCGCGTCCGTGCGGGGGACCCGCGCGGTGAGCCTCCCGCCGAAGACCGAGCGAAGAGTCCCCGCTTGGACGTTTACCTCTTCGCCAGACCCGGCCTCAGTTTCCCTGTCTGGAAACACAAAGAGGTTTCGGTGGTCCTGGAGTTTTGCCTGGACGGAAGGCAGCGGGGGCCCTGGGTGTTCGGAGAATTTGTGGAGCGACTTTTAGAAACGAGCCTCAGGGGCTGATGGCATGGCTCGGGGGCGGCGGCAGATAGATAGCTTCACGCGCAAGGGGCTGGGTTCGGTCCTCAGGAACTCTCTGCCCCCAAGAAAAAGAAACGAACCAGAACGCACCGCTTGCTTTTCAGGGGGCGCAGAGGGGTCCTGGGTTACAGCCTGAGGCGGAACCTCTCCCGCCCGCGGGCCGACAGCGCACCGCCGGCGAGATGCTCCGGGGCTGGGGCGGCCTGTCCTCGCGGGCGCCGCGGGGCGGGAGCGAGCCCTGGGTGCGACGGGCAGGGCCTCCGGAGGTGACCGGGTTCCTCTAACACCCCCCCCCCCCCCCCCGGGGTTCAGAAACTGTCCAGCCTGGTGCTGCCGGCGGAGGTGATCATCGCCCAGAGTTCCATCCCCGGCGAGGGCCTGGGCATCTTCTCCAAGACGTGGATCAAGGCAGGCACTGAGATGGGGCCCTTCACGGGCCGCGTCATCGCCCCGGAGCACGTGGATATCTGCAAGAACAACAACCTGATGTGGGAGGTAGGCCGGAGCTTCGGGAAGGGGTGCGGGCTGGCAGGTGGGCTGAGCCTCTGCGGAAGGAGGGGGCGGTTTGTCGCCACTGGTGTCAGAAAGGAGCCCTGTCTGGCCCCTGCCGAGGAGAGGAGCTTCGGGTCTCCCTGGGAGCTGTGAAGGCTGCTTTCCCTTTGAACACTCTCTGGGGTAAGACCCTCTCGGCCTGGCGCTTTCTCCCCCAATGCAGCCTTCCCTTTTGCGGGCTTTGGGAAATATCTGCTTCCTGAGCCTCCCAAACAGGGCTGTTGGCCTTACTTCACGGGATCCAGAGGGGCTCTGGTGAACTCGCCGGGGAAGATGCTGTCTCTACCCTCATGCTGGCCTAAGAGGCAGCAAGAATGGGTCTCTGGGGCTGGCCTGTAGGGAAGCCTGGCTGGAATGGAGGAGAGGGGAAGATGGGTGGTTTTTGACAATCCCAGGCCTGATGGCATCCAGAATAACCACAGCTGACCTGGTGTTGAGTCAGCAGTCTGATTCCCCAGGCTGCACACAGTGAGCTCATCTCCTCAGCCCTCACAGCTATTACTCTCATTTTGCACAAGAAATGGGCATCCGAAAGGCTTCCATCCCTGGCCTTTTGACTCTAGCCCACCTCCAACAGGGATGCCAGTGAGACACTCCCCCCCCCCTTAGGACAGAGCCGGTCCTCCCTCGCTCTTCCCTGACAGACCTGCACACCCACAGTGGCCAGATGGCACACCTTCTTCTAGATCGCATGCCGACCCGCAGCCCCACCTGGCAGGGGCCCAGTGTGATACCGTGCAGCTGTTTCAGCTGTTCACAGGCACTGGATGAAGAGAGCAGAGGGATGACCCCAGACCTTGCCTTCTCCCTCCCCTGGACACCTGGGCCTAGGGGGTGTCTTCCAGCTGTTGTCCAGTCAGGAAGCTAGGGTGTGGCTTGACCTCTAGGGACCCTTAGAAGTTTCACAGAGGGGCTTAAGCCAGGCCGAGGGACCCCAGAGAGCTAGTCTTGCCTCCCAAGCTCCTGCATCCCTTTCTGAGGCTCCGTACTTCCCAGTGCTCTGCAGTGAACCGCTGTACCTTCAAGGACAGGTAGCAAAGAGCAAGTTACCTGCTTAGAGATCTCTTGGAGACCCTTTTCTTCTGGGAGTGGGAGGGCCCAGTCACAGTGAGCCCATGGGTCCCTGAAGACTGACTCCCTGTTTACCCCTTCCCTCAAACAGACAAGTTACTGTGCCCCTAACCTGGGCTGGAAGATGACAACAGCTTTATCCACTTCCCAGAGCTGTTGGGAGAAAGGAGAATGTTTACAGAAGGGTCGGGCCTGAGTCACACCTATTTGTATGGCCCAGTCCTGCCTCAACCCATCACTGCTCCACTTGTGCCTAGGTATTCAACGAGGATGGCACAGTACGCTACTTCATTGATGCCAGCCAGGAAGATCACCGAAGCTGGATGACCTACATCAAGTGTGCCCGGAATGAGCAGGAGCAGAACCTGGAGGTGGTACAAATAGGCACCAGCATCTTCTACAAGGCCATTGAGGTAAGCCATGTACTGTTACACAGGGACGGATGGGGGCATGCATTGGCGAGGATTTCGAAAAAGCAGTGTGTCCTGTGACACAAGGAAGACAGAAGGACATTAGCGCTGGCCCGACTGGCTCTGCCCGGGTGGAGGGCTGAGGCTCATGTACCATGACTGCCAAGAGTATGCCCTCTGTGGGAAACTTGCTGAAACAGCTGGGAGAGGGTGAGGCCTACAAGTTGATGCTGGGGTGAATGTATCAGACATAGAGGAGAGAATGCAGGGGTTCGGGAGGCAGATCAGGTGGAAGCTGGCTGGGGCTGTGCTTGAGGATAATAAAGGCCGAGTGTCCACATGGTTTAGCTGCTTGTCATCTCTTATTCTGGGGCTGGTGGCGTGTGGCTCAGTAGTCTGTCTCAGCGGTAGATCACGGTGTTAGTTAGATCACTGAGTCCCATGGACTGACCTCACACAACTTCGAGAGGAGGATCTTGAGTTTATCCACAGCTCCTGGACATAAAACCTGCCATTTCTTGAGTGCCAAAAGCTCTCAACCATCTCTGCTGGGGAGTGTTAGCTGGGGAAAGGCTCGGGGCATGGTGTGTGGGAGTCTTCTAAAGTGGACAAAAGTGAAACCAGGCTCAGGGTCTGAGAAGGGAAAGGAGGCAGTCCTGAGGATGGGAGATGCCTGGCAGAGGCAGAAAGCATCAGGGAAGGTAGTGAGGGAGGGGCCGCTGGGCAATGATTCCCGAGGCGGGGCGCATCAGCACGGTTGGTTCTTTGAACAGAGTCCCTTGCCGTGCAACTTGGCTGTGTCTTGCCCTGGATGTGGGAAATTGTCTAATTCTGTGTCGGGTAGCAGGGTGACCCACCACATTTTTCTGGATCTTGCCCTTTTGTTAGCTTGTTTTGGAAGTCCCTCCATGGGGGAACGGCCCTGGGCTTGGTTGCTCTTCAAGGTCAGAGGAGAACTTCCTTTCTAGCTACACTCCAGTTACTGGCAATGACTCTGAGCCTGACGTCTGGCCTCTTCTGGGTGTCTCTGCCTGCTAACTTCTGGGACGGGAGTCTTATTGCTCTGGAACGACCAGACCCTTAGCCTCTGACAGGGGTAGTAGTAGAATAGAGCCTTTACCTCATCCTTGTGTGGCCAGGGCCTGGGTCAACCCCAGGGAGATCAGGGCGTAGGGAGTAAGGAAAGACAGGCAGGTCTGCCACGGGACTTCAGAAATGCTAAGGGGTGAAGAGTATTGGTGTAGCTCAGGCAGGACCAGCATGATGCCTGTGATCCTCCAACTGACAGCCACCTCCTAGAATTGGCTTTTGATACAGTTGAACCCCCCCCCATAGCAAAGTACATCCCCTCTGACTCTCTTACACACACACACATATTCACACACCCAGAGACACATGCAAACACACTTATATATATACACAAACACATATGCACACACACACATACATACATACACACACACACACACACACACACACACAGAAACAGGAGACTGGCCAAGAACACCTGTGTCAGGTGGCCTGAATCTCATGGGCAAGAAGGGAAAAGACTATTTCCAGGGAGGAAAAGTTCATCTGCGTTTATCAGAAATTTAAGTTTATGAAAGAACAGGCCATGTACACACATCTATGTAGCACACACATTATTACATGTATGGTGTATCATACACACACCTCTCACATGGGATTGCAGTGTTTAGAATGAACCATCCTGCTAAGAAGGGGCTGTTTACGTGACAGATAAGGAAACACAAGCATTTGCAAATTACTTTGCTTTCTTTTGTCTAGTATTTTTTATATTTTTATTTTTTTTAAATTTGAGACAGGGTCTCACCTCTGTCTCCATTTAGAATTGCTTGATTTTGTATTTGTGGAAATATCCTAGAGTAGCAACAGTGCATTCTTTCTGCTGAAGAGAGCCATTTCTCCCGTGTTTTGGCAAGTAACGGGTTACCGTTATGAAATATAAAAAGAGCTTGTGAGTGGCAGGAAGACCAAGTAAGCAGGTCATGGCAAAGGTCTACCTAGTGAGCTCCAGGCCAGCCTGGGGCTGCACAGTGAGCCTGGCCAGCCCGGAACTCACCTAGCCCTGGCTGGCCCGGAACCCACAGTGATTTGCATGGTTCAGCCTCCAGAGTGCTGGAATCAAAGGCGTTCACCCCCATACACAGCCCCAAATTACTTTTCACAAATGAAGTCAGGCGCATTTTTTTTTTCATACCAGCATTTCTTTCAAATTATTTTTATTTTTAAAAACAATGTCAGAATTGCACTTACACGTTCCGATGTGACCAGACATATTTGTGCTCGCCCAGGCAGCTCCTGGGAAGTCTTGAATAATCAGCTGTTTGTTCTCTGTGTGTGCTGTTAGCGGAGAAGAAGGACCTTTGCCATGATCTGTTTACTTGGTCTTCCTGCCACTCACAGCACTATTTATATTTCATAACGGTAACCCGGTAACCCGTTACTTGCCAAAACAGGGGGGAAATGGCTCTCTTCAGCAGGAAGAATACACTGTTGCCACTCTAGGACATTTCCACAAATACAAAATCACGCAACTCTAAATGGAGACAGAGGTGAGTGGGTTTGGAAGCTCAGGCCAGCCCTAGGGTCCTGCTACAAATTCTGCCTCCCAGGTGTGTGGGGGGGGAAGGGGTCGCAACCTTCTGGCTTGACTTCCACCTGGACACCCAGCCCTGCCTCAGGTGCCTCACAGGGCATTTCTAGAAAGCACCCAGCACACAGTCAGGGGACACTAAATATTGAATGAATAAATGTGTCTGATGGGGTGTCCACCTCTTCCAGGAAAACAAAACTGGCTCATTCAGGAAGCAAGTGATTTGCCCAAGAAACCATCACAAGAGAAAGCTTGGGGAATCTGTTGTCACTGTTTGGAGGGGTTTACAATGGGAAGAAAATCCTCAGTCTTCCCCATTTTTGTTTCATTGTATTGCTTGGCAAATGGTTGCCCTGAAATGTGGCTTTCTCGTTTTCTCTTGTTTCAGGGCAGCTGAGCCTTTTGTTTTTCTTAGAGCATCACCTCCTTACTCAGCTCTGAGAATAAGCACCATTTTCCTTTTGACCTTGCTCAGTAGTGGCTCTGATGATTACCATCATTAATGATCAGCACCATTAATGATGCTACCTAGAGCATCTCTCCTGTGCCGACATTACACAATGTTTTCAAGGGCCTTAGCAACTCTGTGGTTTTGTAGCGCAGACTGAGCCCAGGGCTTCTTTCTTCCTTCCTTTCTTTCTTTTTCATTTTTTATTTTTTCGTGGTACCACGAATTGAACGCAGGACCTTATCCGTGCTGAATAGGCCCAGTAATGCTGATCCCTGTCCCCATTTTAATGATGAAGAAATGAAGGTTCAAGGTTTGAAGAGATTCTGAGCTGTGATTTGAACCGCAGTCCATCTGCTGCAGAGCTAGAGTGTGCACGGCCGGGCTGTGTGGCCTCCCTGGCCAGCATCTTCTTGTTGGAGTTCTATTAATTGGCGTGTCAGGACATCTGTGCACAATGGAAACTGATGATCATCCAGATGACACAGAGATGCTTCTGTGTCACCCCGGGAAGGGCAGGTGTCAGGGCCTCCCTGGAGCATGGTCAATGGGGTGTCATGAATTTGTATTAGGAAAGCAAACCTGAAAGCCTGTCATTGCCCTTCTGTCATTGAAATGGGGCAGGACTCAAGTTAAGGCTGGTGAGAAGGTTAAAAACTAGGCAGAGGTCATGAGGCTTGCCAGCAGGAGCCAGGCAGTGCTATTTCCCTCGGTTTGACAGAGTGGATCTTACGAAATGGGGATAAGTTCCTTTGGGGATTGCTTGATCCATGGTTATGTCCCAATCCAATCTCCTGTTCCCAGAAACATGAATGACCGGCTGACTCAGGCTCCCAGTCCTAGCACAGAGCCTAGCCTGGACCAGCTAACCTCAGTAGGAGTAGTGCCTGTGAGCGGCCTGCCAGGGACTGTGGCTGTTGAATGCCTTGAGCTGGTCTCTGGACAGTATGTCCAGGATCTCAGAGAAGAGGGTGCAAGTTGCAGAGTCTTTTGGGCTCCGACGCAGGCTTTTGGTGGGTGCAGGACACACCCAGAGAGCACCCCCAACAGCTGAGCATCTGGAGCAGGAGAGGAGAAGCTCCCCATTACTCTGTGGCACAGTTAGTTACACCGCTACCCCCAGGAGCTTTAATGTTTAAGTTGAATAAAATTAATTTTAGTGTTCAGTAAGTGGCGTTCGGTAGGGGCGCCAGACTCTGAAGTGGTCCCCGTTTCTCTGTGAAGGTGACATGGGCCTCTCCTGCTGCTCAGAGCCTTTAGCCGTCTAGGGATTTTTGATTGCCAATTCCAGCACATTCTATTTACTAGGCTTCCTTTCTTGAGAAGCCTTATGATTGTTGCCGCTGTTGTGTATGTGTAGAAGTGATGCACACTCATTTTTAAAGTAGATTGTGTAAAACTAGAAGTAACATTGTCTCTTCATATTGATCTCTTAAAGCCTAAATCAGCATTATTTCAAATTCTCAAAATTACCTTTTATTTTTCTTCTTGAAAAACACACCGAGAGAGGCATAGGCAACAGCTGGGCCTCCAGGGCAGAAGAGAGAGAAACGGTCCATTATTTACCCTGTGGCACAGTTATACCTTTATGTCCATGAAGTTTAATTTAAGTTGGATAAAAGAATTTTAGTGTTTATTTATTACATTTTAAAAATCTGCATTTTATCATGTGTATGCCTACTTTGCATGCATCGTCTGTAGCTGCGTCTTGTATGTGTCTGCAGTCCCCAGATACCAGAAGAGGGTGTCGGATCACCTGGAACTGAAGTCACGGATGACTGTGTGCCACCGTCTTGTGGGAGCTGGGATTTGACCCAGGTCCTCTGGAAGAGCAGCCAGTACTTTTGATTGCTGAATCACATTCCAGGCCCTACTTACTTACTTTTGAGACACACGAACTCATGTAGCTCTCCATATTTAGGTAGAGATGACCTTGAACTTTCTCCTGCTTCTAACTCCTCAGTGCTGGGATTATGGTGGTGCCACACCACATCTGGCTTACATGGGGCTGAGGACAAGACCCAGGGCTTCAGACACTCTAGAAAGCATTCTACCCACTGAGGAATGCCTCGGTCTCAAGCCTGTGCTTAGTGGCATAGAAGGCAAAGGCCGGGTCACCATGGACCTCTACTCTGACCGTGGCCCTCAGCTTTACCGCAGTGATTCAAAGTGCCCAGGCCATTGCCTGTTTCTCGGGAGGAAAGAGCAGCAATTCTGTACCTTCTCAGTTCAGAGAGCTTTGTGCTTGCGCCCGCGATCTGACATCTATCAGGGAGGCCTGTGAAATAGGGGCTGTTCTGTTTTCACAAGTGCAATAACCGAGTGTGACAAAATGACTCGCTTGGCAGGCGCAGAGCCTGAGTCCCATCCCCCATGCGTGCTCAGCAGTGGGGTGGGCGGGTAGACCTCCGTAGCAGGAGGCCTACAGGCTGCTCCAGCAGACACGCTTCCCGACTTCTGAGGTCACACAGGGACTGGTGACACGAAATCCATCTTATAGAGGCTCTTTCCCAATCCATAGCTTTAAAACAAACAAACAGACAAACAAAAAACCCATTGATCGATATCTTAGAATACTTGGACTCCATCATCTTCTTTGAGGAGTCACAGAGCCTTTTCTTCTCTCCTCCTCTTTAAGGAGAGGCCTCCAGCTCTGATCCTCTGGTCTCTCGGGTGAAAGCCCAGTGACCATGACTGCGAGGGAGAGGCCAGAGGCCTCTAGCTCTGGAGCCAGCCAGGTTCCAAGCTGTCTCATTTTGCTTGTGTTTACAAATTGTGCTTGTTTTCCATATTTAACCTCCCCAGTGGAACTGGCCACAGGCACACACGAACACATGCACGCTCCTAGTCTGCTGCGATGCCAAAGGCTACGGGCTGTTGTGAAGGGACACGGCGACCTCAGGCTGAGTCTCAGGAGGGGAGCAGTTCCTTTCCTTGGGCCCCTCTCAGCTCAATCTCCTTTCAGAGCCTGGTGGATGGTCTTGGGAAGGAGGTGTCCTCTGGGCTCCCCGCAGGGTGGGTGGACCCGAGGCTCTCAGGCTTGCATGGAAGGGAAGACTCCCTCCTTGACTAGCACTCTGAGGTAGTTCCAGACACTTCTGGGTGGAGTCCCATGTGATTTCTCTTTGGATATATGCTCTGTGTGTGTATGCTCGTGTGGGGTATGAATGTACATATGTGTGTGCACACGTGTGGAGACCAGACATCAGTCTCAGGTGCTGTTGCTCGGAAACCTTGTTCTTTGAGACAGGCTTTCTCACTGGCTTAGGGCCTGGCAATCAGTCTGGACTGCTGGCCAGCGAACTCCAGGGCTCTGTGTCTGCAGTGGGATTACAAGCGTACACCTTGTTTCTTCATGTGGGCTCCGGGGCTCAACCTCATGACCTTATGCTTACAAAGCAAAAACTTACTATCTGAGCTATCTCCGCAATCTCATAGGATCTCCTGTGCTTCAGCTAAAAGAGAACCCCACCGAGAAAGAAGATAGCCGTTGTCAGGCACTGTATCAGTTTCTCTGGGCACCCCACACAGTGACCTCCAGGAGCAGTGGCCTCAAGAGAGAGATGGGCTTTTCTCTCTCCTGTGTGTCCTACCTGGCTGGGGTCCAGAGAGCAGGCTTTTTAGCTCCCCTGGATTGTCCCTGCCAAACTCTCTTGATCAACAGCTGTGATCACGGAGTGCAGCCAAGGCTGGTCAGAGGCTCTGGGGCTTCTCGATGAGGGACCTAGGACACAGGGAAACGTTTTGGTTAAGGCTGTTTTGGTATTTCCAGAGGTGGAGGTTTTTGTCAATCCCAAGGTGTCTTTTTTAGCAGCTGCCACGTGGTACATGAAGTCCTGTGGAGAGAGCCCTGTGCCGTGTGACTCAGTGCTGCCCGTGGGCGCTTGGGATGAGAGCTGTTTCTGGAACATTTTCAGGCAGGGTGTAGGCACAGGGCACCCCACAGCTCACACTCCTTAGAAACATCTGGCTCAGCCTTACGGCCCTGAAGGCTGACTGACTGACTCTAATTCCTCTGGATATAGATATAAAAGGAAAATTTTTTTTCTAGGTTTTCATCTTCTGTTACTTCTGTTTGTGAGATTTTTTCCCCTTCTTTTTTTTTTTTTTTTTTTTTTCAAGACAGAGTTTTTCTGTGTAGTCTTGGCTGTCCTGGACTCATTTTGTAGGCCAGACAAACCTCAAACCTCCCCAAGTGCTGGGATTACAGGCATGTGCCACCTTGGAAGGGAAGACTCGCTCCCTGACCAGTACTCTGAGGTAGTTCCAGACACTTCTGGGTGGAGTCCCATGTGGTTTCTCTTTGGATATATGCTCTGTGTGTGTATGCTCGTGTGGCTGGCTTTCCCCTTCTTTCTGAGACTCGGTCTTGTGCATTCCGGGTTGGTCTCTATGTAGCCAAGAATGACCTTGAACTTCTGGTGGCCCTGCCTCCACCTCCTGAGTGCTGGGGTGGCACTGACTAGCAGGAGTGATTTCTGCAGACCTGGGGATCTAGTCCAGACCTTCGCACATGCTAAGCAAGCATTCTACCAACTGAGCTACTCCCCTATCCCAGGGTTCCTTCTCACCCCCCGCCCCCCGTGGCGAACAAAGGGGACCTTCACTATCCTGGGGGGCCTTCACCATCTACACAGCCTGGGACAGGTCAGTGAGATAGCTCCAGCTTTGGCTCTCTCTCTCGGGGCTGGGTGGGCAGAAATGTGCAGAGATCCCTGCCTTCTGCCAGCAGCTGCCACCCTCCTGACCTCCCCTTGCCTCTCTTTCTGCAGATGATCCCTCCAGATCAGGAACTGCTGGTGTGGTATGGAAACTCCCACAACACCTTCCTGGGCATCCCTGGTGTGCCGGGACTGGAGGAGGAACAGAAGAAAAACAAGCATGGTAGGTATTCACCATGGGGTCTTGGTGACAATGATCCAAAGAGGGAGGAGGGAGAGGACAGGGGGCCTCCTAACCTCTGAGGATACTTCTTCAGCTCTGGTAGCATTATACACATGGGACCTAATGGTCAAAAATAAGGCCTCTTCCCCCAGAGCAGCTAGCTTGGGCTGAGCACGGCGAAAAGGCAGGCAATCTTGCTTTCTGAACCAGACAGATGAAGCAGACCAGGTAGACTGCTGTGGGCAGACGAGGAAACCCAACAGGGTGATGAGGTATGGCTGGAGAACTGGGCAGGACAGCAGAAACATGTAATTGATTTCTAGCTGTTTAGACTGCCTTTGTGCCTCAGTTTCCTCAGCTGTAAAGAAGTGGTGAGGACATCTCTGTGTCCAGCTCTATCCAGGTCCTGGTGTAGGGCCAGCCTGATCTACAGAGCTAGTTCCGGGACAGCCAGGGCTACACAGAGAAACCCTGTCGCAAAATATGAAGGTGGGTGGAGGGGAAGAAGGCGCAGCCTGAGGCTCAGGGGCTAGTGTTTTCCTTGAATGCTCCTGCTGCCTCCATTTGTAATAAGAAAATGGACAGATAGTAGTTTCCAGGTACAATGAGTGAATCTTTGTGAAGTGAATAGAGGAGAGGGCTTTTTAGGGGCCTCATAGTTGCTGTTCTTTATGGATGGCCTGTTAGGACCCAGGCATTTCTCACATTCACATAAAGTAAAGTGCTCACTCAGCACAGAAAAAACCAATCTTCCAGTGACTACAGTTTTTCTGATGAACTTGCAAAATCCCGCTAGCCCTTAGTGGTCTACAAGAATTTTTTTTCTTTTTTTAACTTTATTTTCTTTTTACACTTTACTTACTTTGTGTGCATCTAGGCATGTGAGCGCATGTGAGGGTCAGAGGACGCTAGTGGGTGTCGGTGGCAAATGAATGCCTTTAGCTCTACACACACATACACTTTTTTTTTTTTTTTTTTTTTCTCTGTGAGACGGGGTTTTTATATGTAGCCCTGGCTGGCCTGAAACATACAGAGATCTGCCTGCTTCTGCCTCCCCAAGTGCTGGGACTAAGGGCGTGCGCCACCAAGCCAGGACTGTCTCCTATTTTTCAGAGGAGAAAGCTTAGGTTTCCTGGGGTCAGATCCAGGTTGGAGACTTGCTGCAATTAGGCCCCAGCCACGGATCGCGGCGCCCTCCGGGCTGTGTGGCCCAAGGTCTGCGGGAAGTACAGTACGGGGGACGGGGCTCAGCCAGCGTGGGTGCTAACAGGGCTGCTTTCTCTCCCTCCCGCCCGCTCCGTGGGCCCCGCGTTCCGCCCGCACGGCCAGAGGACTTCCACCCGGCGGACTCCGCGACCGGCACCGCCGGCCGCATGCGCTGCGTCATCTGCCACCGCGGCTTCAACTCGCGCAGCAACCTGCGCTCGCACATGCGCATCCACACGCTGGACAAGCCCTTCGTGTGCCGCTTCTGCAACCGCCGCTTTAGCCAGTCGTCCACGCTGCGCAACCACGTGCGCCTGCACACGGGCGAGCGCCCCTACAAGTGCCAGGTGTGCCAGAGCGCCTACTCGCAGCTGGCCGGCCTGCGCGCGCACCAGAAGAGCGCGCGCCACCGGCCGCCCAGCACCGCGCTGCAGGCTCACTCGCCCGCGCTGCCGGCGCCCCACGCTCACGCGCCTGCGCTCGCCGCCGCCGCCGCGGCCGCCGCCGCCGCCGCGCATCACCTGCCCGCCATGGTACTGTGAGCGCCGCGCACGCGCCCCACGCGCACGCGCCTCCCGCCGCCTCCGAGGCGGACCTGACCTCCCCGTCCCACCCCCGCGCCGCGCGCCGCAGACGCGGCCGCCACCCGGACCTCACTCCTGATCTGCCTCGCAGGGGAGGGCGCCGAGGGGCGACGTCCTCTTTACCCAGGCCGCCCGGCTGGTGTGGCTGGCTGTCGCCTCTTCTTGGGAGCAGGTCCCCACGCCCGGCCCCATCCCGGACATCTTTCTACCAGATGACGGGGGCGGGGGGGGGGAGGGGGCACACAGACGATCTCCAAAGAGAGCTTAGTAGTTGGGAGTGGAAGGGAGAGCCACCTCCTTGGCCCAGGGTGGGCCCGGGGCGGGCAGTGCTCATCTCTGCCTCCTGGGAATGGTGTCTTGATGTGTTGCGAGTGGAGGGAACGACGTTGACAATTGGCGTTGAAGAGTGATTAGCACAGAGAGGGAGACCTGCTCGTCCCAGGCCCTGCTTCAGGCTACTTTCCCCAGCACCTGGCTGGCTCCCAGTGATGGACGAGACGCCAATACACTCTGAAGCGTGCTGGGCAGATTGAGAGTGGGGACACAAGGGACATTCGCCATAGCCCCTAGGCAAGACCCTGTCTCCTTTGGAGCCTCAGTTTCCCCATCTATAGACCGCGGGAGTTAGACCAGTGCCCCTTCTAAAGTTCTGCCGGCCTTTGAGCTTAGGAAGGGAGAGGCATCTTCACCCCCACTCTACTGAGCACCCAAACCAGAGAATGAGCGATCATGCAGGCTGTCTGGAGCCGAGGTTAGCTTTTCTGCGAAGAAAGCCCATCTGAGGCGCGCGGGGCCCAGGGTTCTTACCCAAGAGACCACACGGCCACGCGCCCCTGCCCACGCCTTTCCCTGCTCTGACCGTGTCATCTCAAACGTCAGAGCACGTGAGAGACACGCCCTCTGGTGTCATCTCAAACCTTGTCATTTACCAGAATCCCCCAACACACACTCCTTCCACACACCAGGGCGTTTGTAATATTAAAAACAAAACAAAACAAAAAAACCCACAAGACTATAATAATATTAACAAAAAGTATAAAATGTATAGAGTTTTCAAGAAAGTGTGTTCTACTCCCAGAAAACGGTCACTTTAACTTTGTAAATGTTTATCTAAGATGCTATTTACGAAACTGTGATATATATTATTTGATTGTATATGTACAACTGTAAATACATTTGTACTTCTCTTGTATTCTAAAATAAAAATTACTTGGAAGATGTATTGTTTGGCCCCTGAACGGGTGCATGCCCTTTGTCTGGGACATTTACAAACACGGAAAGTGGAAAAACAGTGGAAATGGCTGGAGGGGTTGTTCCACTGACTGCTGCTAAAATTCACTGCGGTACCCTCTGTAAGGAAAAGCTGGTGTCCCTAAGAGAAGCCACAGTGCAGTATGTAGGGATCATGAAGGAGCAGGACAGAATCCTCATCATTTAGCTGGCTGCAGCCAGGGTTCCCTCCTGAGCAAATTACCCACCTACACTTCACTTAGGATTTTTTGTTTGTTTGTTTGTTTGTTTGTTTGTTTTTGTGACCAACCTGGAGAGGTTTAAGGAGGCAGAGATGAGCCCCAAGGATCGCCAGGAGTCTTGGACTTCCCAAGTTATCTGCCACACTCATTTTCAGATGGAGTGACTTCTTTTCCTGTACTGTGACAGCATTGACAAGAGCAACTTAAGGGTGAAAAGGTTTATGTTGGCTGGAGGTCGAAGGTATAGTACATATGGAGCTTCAAGGAGCTGCTCAGATCACGTCCTCAGTAAGAAGAGAGCGCTGAATGAAGGTTGATCAGCCCCTTTTCCCACCCAGGATCCTCAGCAGGGAACAGTGCCACCCACCGTGGGTGAGTCCTTCTACCTCCGTCAGCATAATCGTGGTAACCCCTATACGCATGCTCAGAGGCTCCTAGATCCTGTCAAGCTGACATCACTAACCATCAAATCTACCTTAGTGAAGACCAAGGGGCAGGAAGGCCAGGGAGGGTCCTGTGTTTCAGCCTTTGTGAGCGATAATGGAATCATCTTTTTTTTTTTTCTTTTTTTTTCTTTTAGATTTATTATGTATACAATGTTCTGCCTGCATGTCCACCTGCATATCAGAAGAGGGCACCGGATCTCATTATAGATGGTTGTGAGCCACCTCGTGGCTGCTGGGAATTGAACTCCGAATCTCTAGAAGAGCAGCAGTACTCTTAACCTCTGAGGCATCTCTCCAGCCCCGGAATCACCCTTTCGAATAGATTGGACCCGTGGGCACACCTCCCCTCCCCGTGTGCACTCACCCAGCCTTGTTCCTGTGCACTTGGGAACTGACACTTGTTCACAGACACCCTCTATGGAAGTTCTGGTGTGGCGTGTGTGACCAAAGACCCTTATATTTTGGGGGACATGGCACAGAGGCCCATCTGGGAGGTTGGCTTGCAGGTCCTGTGACTTTTCCCCCAGGCTCCTCCCTTCTAAGCTCTCCCCTCCCTTCCACGCATTAGCCTTTGAGCTCTTCCCACTGCACACTCCCCCGGCCCAGTCTTTTGTTCTCTTGACCAGAGGTCATCTATGCTGAGTCCTATTTTCCCCATATGTCCGTGGGTGCAGTGTTGAGTCTCCCACGAGTGAAGTTCATTTCCTGAAGGCATTTCTGCTGGCGTCAAAGTTCCAAGAAATCAGTAGAGCCTTTAAGCAAAAAGCTAATTTGTCCTATATAGGGGCCTCTGCTGGGCTGCAGAACCCACCCGGTGGCAATATTCTGCAATTGCAGCCCGGACTGCCTCAGGCTTGTGCATAGGCAGATTGCTTCAGCAGGGATGTGAAAACTGCCCCTAGGGTGCCAAGAGAAACAGATGCCGGACTGGGATCCTGAGGAGTTCGCTCGCCAGGTGGAGGCCCGCTCTGAAAAGCTGCACCTCTTATGCTTGCAGCCGCCCCCCCCACGCCGCAGGAACTCGTAGCCCCTCACCCCAAGGGCGCAGCCCCCACCCCAGAGGTAAGTTTTGAGGCAATATCTGCAAACTAGCCCCATGGTCGGGCACTTGAACAAATGCATTTCGAGAGTGTCCCCAAACACTGATGGGCTGAGTTCCCTCCCCCACTTCCTGTTTATTTGATGTCCTTATGAAAGTATGGACATAGCAGATCACGCGCTTGTGTCATTCAAGTGCAAAGCAAGGTTTCAGCTCAGGTGTCTGACCCGAGAGGTCATGCTCTTGGGGGTCAGGCCAAGAAATTCTGGTCAAATTGAAGAGTCAGTCCAAAGGGCTTTATTCCCCTCCCATGATGACACAGTGTACTTTGAATTTGTATTGATTGTGACCTCTAGTTTTCCTGGTACAATCCTGACCCTCCTAAACCCTCCCCTACCCGCCTCCATGCTCCAGAGAGTATCACTGTCCCTTCTCCCTCCGAATCCTTCCTGTACCCTGTAACTTCACATCTCTTGAACTATGGGAACAAAAATGCGGGGTGTGTCTTGCAATTGGCTTGTTGACAGCCTGTTGGTGGGTGGAGTAGGTTACAGACAATGGCCAACAGCACAGGGACCCAGGGCCTTCACATGACAGCCTCAGCTCACACTCACTATGTCTTCAACTCACATAATCTTTCTAGTGCCTTGTTATCCCTAGGCTAGTTTCTGGGTATGACCATGTTGTCTGTGAATGAAAACATTTTTCATTTCTAGTTGGTGTTGTTTATTTTTGTGACAGAGCCTCAGTGCGTGGCTCTGGCTGGCCTAGGACTCACTATACAGACCCAACTGGCCTTGAACTCATGGAGACCCACCTGTCTCTGTGCTTTAGTTACTGTTCTATTGCTGTGAAGAGACACCACGACCATGGCAACTCTTATAGAAGAAAGCATTTTGTTTGATTGTTGTTGTCTTTTTGAGACAGTTTCACCGTGTAGCCCTGGCTGTCCTGGAATGCACTGTGTAGACAAGGCTGACTTCAAACTCACAGAAATCCGTTTGCTTCCACCTCCAGAGTGCTGGGATTAAAGCTATGTACCACCATCACCATGTCTGTCTAAAAGAAAGCATTTAAGTGGGGGCTTGCTGACAGCTGTAGAGAGTTAGCTTATGATTATCATGGTGGAAAACAGACAGGCTTGATGCTGGAGCAGAAGCTGAGAGCTTTGCATCCTGATTTACAGGCAGCAGGCAGAGAGAGGGACACTGGGCCTGGTGTGGGCTTTTGAAACCTCAAAGCTCACTCCCAGTGACACAGATCCTCCAACAAGACCACACCTCCTAATCCTTCCCAAACAGTCCATCAAGGGGTGTGGAGGGGAGGACAGGGGGACCAAGCATTCAAATATATAAGCCTATGGGGGGGGCATCCTCATTCCAGCTGTCTTGCTCGGCTTCCAGAATGCTTTTTATTACTTTATTTCTTTTCTGGCTTTTGAGTCAGGGTCTTCTATGTATCCTATGCTGGTCTTGAATTCACTATGTAGCCCAGGCTGGCTTTAAATACAAAGCAATCCTTCTGCCCCAGCCTCCTGAGTGTTGAGATGACTGTGACACAGCAAATTCTCTCTGGAGAACCAAGTTCTGATGTCAGGTAAATCTGTTCTTCTTTTTATTTTCATAGCAATAGGGCCCAAGCCTCAGGCATCACACACACACTAGGAATAGCTTTAATCACTCAAAGGATAACCTGTATTTTATTTCTTCTTGCTCGGGAACCCCTGTCACAGAGGATTCTAGGCAGAGGGAAATGTTTGACTTTGAAACCCTACCCAGCCATTTCTTGTGTGATCCTGGGCAATGAACTAACATCTCTGTGCCTCAGGCTTCTCTCACGGAACTTGGGGTGATATTTAGCTCTAAGGATGTCACAAGATCACAGGTACAAACAAATACAGCACATGAGTGTGTGCCTGGCACATAGTAGGTGCTCAGTAAATACAAGGATGCCTTTGTTAGGTAAGTGGGGTTGTAGTTTTTGCCAACAACAACAATAACC